GTGTGTGTGTGTGTGTGTGTGTGTGTGTGTGTGTGTGTGTGTGTGTGTGTGTGTGTGTTATACACGCGTGCGCACGCACGACGCACATACAAGCGTAAGAGCATTTAAGAGACTATAAGATCTTTTTTTGTGTCACAATCAAAGTGTTAACTTTAATAAATGTATACATTTATGTATAGTGAATGTATATACTGACTACAACAGACTACAGTAAATGTATATATTTACTGAGTTAACACTTCGACTGTGACAAAAAAAAATTGAGACTCCAGTAAAATGCTTACTGTTATCTGAGGATTAAGAATACAAAATTACTTTATAAACATAATCTTTAGAGAATTTTATGAAAATGACGAATAAAAATATTTTAAAAAAGTAATTTTATTAAAAGTTATTAAAAAAAACGTTAATTTTTTATTTTATTACGATATCACATGAACGGAAATAAATACGCTTTTTTTCAAAATACGCATCTTAAAAATGTCCACATACTCCATGCCACAAAATGCCATTAAATCGATGAAATTACTATTTATGAAGAGAATGAAGAGAATTTATGAATTGAAATAAAAAAAAAATCTGATTTGTGTGTGTGATTTTCGTCAAAACAAAAAAAATTTTTTATTCTTTATAATCTGTGGTAAAATTATTTCTTGATAATTTTTTGTGCATCATTTTCTCACAAAATCTCTTAAAGATTACATAAAAAATATCTAAAAAATTTTTTTGTGCACTTATAATCCTCAAATAATAGTAAATATTTTGCTAGTTCTTTTTTCTGTACGCGTAAAGGTTCTATAATTGAGTATAATCGTGCGCCATCTTTTTATTCGTACTCTTATTTAACGTGCTTGTGTATCACCCAACTTTCTAATTTCGAAGTTTGCTTCTCTGAGTTCAAAATTAAGTTGGAGATAAAGAGAAGAGAGAAGAAGAAGAGAGGAAGAAAAGAAAGAAGGGCAGAGAGAAAGAGAGAGAGAGAAAGAGAGAGAGAGATATAGCAATAAACATAAAATTACTATCAGCAATTTGTTCGAGTCTCTTGATCATAATGTTATACCATACTTAAGCTACTGGCATAGAATCCTGAGACAGTTGTCTTCTTGTACCAAATTTTATGGTTTTCTACAGCGGTTTCCTTTTTTTATCTTTTAACATATATGTAATTAGGTGCATTCAGAATGACAACCGCTCACTAAGCGCTCAGTGAGCTCTTTCACTTGATTGGCACATTTCATTAGATTCTAAAATATAGATCAATCAGATGAAAGAGCTCACTGAGTGCTCAGAGTAGTTGTTCTGAATACACTCATTGTATTCCTCCTTTCTTAAATTTCAAAACGTACACAACATAGTTTGCGTTTCACAGCGCATTTAAAATAATTGAAATTTCGATAATTTAAGCCTTTTTCTTGTTAAATAACTATAGCTATAAAAGAATTGATAATAATTGTAACGATATTAATTGTTAATTACAAAATTAAGGAATATATTCGTTTGAAATAAATTAGTTTCATTTGGTCATACGCCCTGCATACTGGCACTTTGCCTACTCGTTACACAAGTAACGAAAGCGTGTCGTAATTTCGTAATATGTATACACTTTTAAAACCTAATTCGCATGTATTAATTTACAAAAGAGAAAAACTACTTCGAGCATCCTAACTCGATGACAATGTATAATATTTCTATTTCGTCACTTTTCATTATTTTTAAAATTATCCTTAATTTCTCGGTACATTGCACTTAAACGTATTGTTATACGTCTAATAATTGCCACAGGCTGTAATTCTTTTCCTTATTTTTAACTAGCATTTTCAATGATCCGCGCTAAGATTCTATTAATTGATTATTCTTCGATTTGAGATTGAATGTCAAAAGACAATACTCTCTTGTTCTATTTCCAGTTGGGGTACACACGCGATATACACACGATACATTGTATTTCTGCCGCATATTCTCGACACGATGACATCACGTATGCTTATAGCGCATCTAAATGAGTGCAACGTCCTTAACAATTACTTATTATCAGCGGGAGCTCGTGACACGATCATTCTATTATTCACACGTCGGATAATACCATGCACATTAGTACGTATGACGCGATAGAAAACGATTAATCATAAGGCATCGAATCGATTCGTTCTCCGTCTAATTCGTTACCTCGTTAAACCGGGGATAATCGCGCACAATGAATTTATGAAAGCGAGAAAGCAATGATGTAAGCAATACATACTTGAATCTTTTCCTTTTTGTTTTTTACTTGATTTTGTACAAGAAAATCAACTAGCGAGAGAAAGAGAGAGGGGGGGGGGGAAGAGGGAGAGAGAGAGAGAGAACGGTCTTGTCCACATGAACGGTAAAAAGGAAAGAAAAAAAAAAGAGACATCTTTCGTAGTGACATAAAAATCACGCAGTTATTCCCGGTGTAACGTTAGTTAAGTATACTTATTTACGTTGTAGCTGCTGTTTTCATCTACAGTTGAAGGTATGTATAAGATACATTTAAATTGTTAAAATTTTATTGCTAGTTAATTTGACTGAGATTCCAATTTTGTTGCATATAAATTGTCAAATCATTCTTATCAAAATAAAGAAGGACAACTATCGAAAGAAATAGATATGGCATCGCAAAAGCGAGCTTAATGATACAATGTTTCTCTCGTTTTTTTAAGTATATAAAATATTTACAATAATTTTCCATTATATTAATAGACTTTTCCATAAAAAAAAAGTGCATCATAAATTACATATAAACTCTTAAAAATCAGAAAATTATAGAAATGCACTAGTGCATTTTTTGCAAAAAAAATTTGCTGCGGTTTATGTATATATGTATATATAAAATTACGCAGCACGCCAGTATACATTACAAAATTGTTAAAAGCACATAATCACGATACTTGTTTGATTCATATACAACATCAAGTATGCATAATTATATTGCACGACGGTAAGACAATACCGCGAAATATAATTCTTCATTTCAAAGATCAAACACAAGTACTGCGTAAAATACGTTATAAATATATAACTATATATGTTAGGCTCGAATCTAAACTTAAATTTTTCGATTTATATATCAAATAAAGGAGCTTCGAAGATTAATAAGTTCGGATTCGATCGATAAGTCAATTGTAGTCAATAATTATCAAAATGCGTCAACGATGGAAAGATAGATAAAGAATGAAGAAATATATAGTAAACGTATAAGAGCTCAACATATATACATATATATATATATATATACTATAGGGACGCGACAGATACACATATGCATATGTATAATATATATCAAATTGATCGTTTTCCTTAAATATGTACTAGATACATACCGTTTATCTAAATCTTCGTAAAAGTTAAATAAATTTATGAATCATACGATGACGATCCATGATCATGGGCAGGACTCGGTGGTGTTGATGGATTTGAACTATTATTTGAAGCTATAGAATGTCTAGGGCTGCCACCAGATGGATGCTCCTATAAAAATCGTATATTACATACAAGATATATATTTTACACGTACGCACGCACGCACATATATATATACATATTTGCTCGTGTATAAACACACGTTTCATAATTACAAAATATGCTATCTATTTTTAAGAATTGTACGACGAACATGTAGATAAATTCAATAAATAAGGTGGCTCTTTGTGTTGCAATATATAATTAATCATAAATAATACACAAAGAAACATATATGTGTAAAAATAATAAATTACCTTGTTATGTAAAGATGCAATACTGCCAAGAGAGAGCGGAGTATGTGAACGCAAATGTAACGATTCAGAATCAATTTGGTCCACCGGAGTGCGCGGTAAGGAAGGAGGCGTGGCAGTTGGTCGTGGTGGCGCAGGACCTCTTCGTGATGTTGTCGAACCTATATACATATTTCATCTGATTAAATTCGATGCAAAAATTGAAAAATTTCCAGATATACAATTTTGTTTGTAACATTATATATGAAAAAACTAATTTATTAACATGTTACATACTTTATGTTACGTACTTTATTATTTTATTAATTTACCGTTATGCGGCGAATAACCAGAGTTTCTTGATATATGCGAGCTCAAGCGACGTGCGTCAGAAGGGGGATGCCTAGGAGGCAATGGTGCTGGTTTGTTCGGTGTTTGAAGCGTAGCATCATATAGCTATAAGAAAAAATAAAGAGGAAAAAAAGTAAAGTGGAAAGAGAAGTCGCTTATATATTTATCTTGGTAGAATTGTATTAGGAAAAAATTGTTGATTTATTCGTTTATCAAAAACCGAGTAATTCGCATTACTTACTCTTTGCTGGCTACTATGAAGATGAGAACTACCATGATGACTCGTATGTTGCTGATCAGCAGTTTCCAATGTCGTAGGCAAATCTAATAAACGTTGTATCTACAATAAAAGAAAATATATGTAAAATAGTACATATATTTTACATACTCAAATGAACGTTTATGTACATAATATTAGGATTAACAAATGTCAAAACGACTTTTTCAAATTATTTTTTAAACTTGAACTCTTCTATACAATGTATTGTCTGCAATGACGCACGGTAATAATTGTCATTTATGAAATTTAAACTTTTTACATACCTGAATTCCATTTCCTGGACCCATATGACTAATATGATTAAAATTTGTCGGTGCAGAAATCATTTTCGAACGTCTATCTGTAGGACGAACAGCTCTATTGCCTTCTCGTAATGAAAATCTTCGTCGTGGCCTTGTCATTTGTCTACCGCTCGCATCCAATGGCATTAAATTTAATAATTCTCCTAAAATATTTATAATGTTAAACAATAACTAATTAATCCAACAATAACCAATCCAAGCAAACGGAATCAATTTTTTGTTATATAATTTTATATGTAATAAATATGGATATCGTCGCGCGCATCTTCTGGGTTCTTAAGTGGAAAGCATAGATACTTACGCTGATGTAAATTGCTGAGATAAATAACATACGGCATATCATTTATTACGCAAGACGTAAGAGAGCCTGAGATATTCAACGGTCGGGCTCGTTTCACATTAAGCGTTTGTAACCAGTCTCCAGATGTACAGTCAAACACATCAATATGAGTCTCGCTATACACCAATAGATATCCCTCACAATAACCTGAAATTCAAAATCGCGATTCATAAGTAACGAGAATGAATCTATAAATAAGATTCTATAGATAAGATAAAGATATTGAAGTATTTCGACGATCGAACTGAACGCTAAGAATATACATGCTAGCACGAGAGTAGCATAATCAGATAGATGTGACGTTTATCTGGAGACACGGTAGTGTCTCAACGTTAAGAAAAACGAAGTTGTAGTACTTACTAACTGCCATAGGAACTGCAGGATACATTATCTCCCGATCTCGACTCTTTCTTCCTTGATTATCAACATATACTGCTAATGTATGGAAGACTAATAAGAATTCACCGCGTGTCAATTCTATGCAACGTAACGCATCCACGGCACTATAAGTGAGAAAACCCAAGAGTGTATTCTCAGCGTGGACCAAGGCTGGAATAAGTACAAGAGAATTTGATAAAGATGCTTATAAAAAAAGATGATTACGATAAAATAGAACTGAGCGACAATACAGGGGATGTATTTGTCTTGTATCATACTTACAAATAGGATGATGATCTCCTAAAATGCTGTAAATGGAAAAACCTGACGGATAACCAACGCACAAACGTCCTTCAGAGAGAATTTGTAAGGTTTGTGCATGACATGGTAACATTAATTCACGAATGCGTTTATGCCTTGTTTTCGTACGTGTTATCTCATAGATGATAATTTGAGACGCGTTCTACAAAAAATAAGTTGCATTGTGTTACACATACACATCTTGAAATGCAGTATTATATTGTAAGTTATGTATTGTATTATATTTAATTGTACGTTATACTAATCGCGCGCCTTACTTGTTTTTTTATTGCAACGCATAAGCAATAATTAAGCGGATTCCGACGCACTACTCCAGTTGTTAATGTGATGCAGCCTTTAGTCTCTGCTACTTTAATCCATTCGACTTCATCTCCATCTAAAGCACGTACTGGAACCAGCCGTACATGACGTTGTTTTCCACTCAATACCACTATTAATTGCTCCTCCGTAACATATTCAAGAAGATATATCTTTTTTCCTTCCCCGACTCTCGCAATTTCTACAAATTCATTAAAATTTACGCCCAAGCTATACATATCGTTAGGTACAAGGTTAGGTTGCTTATTTAATTTGTACTTTTTTCTGTACGTGCGAATAAGGTCTCGCACTTTTAAACATCTACAAGGAAAGATGATGATATTTTTCGGTAAGTCTAAAGCATAAAGAATCGTCTTGATTAGACGGCTTCGTCTACTCACCATTACGATCTAAATCTAAGCAGAAGAGACCTTCCTCTGTACCAATGACTAGACGATCCGGATCAATAACCGCTCCTGACATCACATTTTTAATGAATGCCAAGGTATTGTCCAATAGTTCTTTCGCTCTAAAAATCTACAGCAACAAACAAAATATACCGATGATTAACGATGTATTATATTCGTAAAGAAAAAAAAGTAGCATTTGCTATTTTCTGTTTTCTAGTAATAGTTAAACTATGAAAGAAAGAGATATAAAAAGAAATGGAAAAATAAAGAAAGAATATATCGTATACTAATTCTATAAAACTATATATACCGTTGTGTTTGGAAGATTGTTTCTCTTTAAAATTCTATGAAGTTCACTTAAGGCTACTACCCATTTTGTTTTTTCGCTTTCCGTATCTGCCAACATTAACGTATGATTTCTCAATCCAGGAGGCTCCAATAATGACGTAGTTATCTAAATAAAAAAAAGACAATTTACGCACCTTCTAAGTAAAAAAAATAATGTGTATTGTTATTATTGCTAAAATATGATACGCACTCATAAGAAATTATGGAATATATAAACACTTTCGATTATCAAGAATAGTAAATGAAAGAAACAAAATTATTATTGTTGGAAATTAAAATAGTGAGCTTGAATCAAAATATATCACTTTATCGCAGCTAAACCGAATAAAATTTACCGATATACAATAAAGGAGATACTACATGAATTATTTGTTTCATTATTCTGACACAAACAGTGAAAAGATTTCTAAGATCCGATTAAAATTAGATATTGAAATATTACCCTAAATATACACGGAATGTCCTTCTTTGTAGCGTGTATCACGTCGGAATCACGAACGGAGCTGACGCTAAATTCTTCGTCTCGCATATCCAGAACTTGCGAAACGTATACAGATGGCAAAGCATTGCGATCTGGTGAAATGTCATAAAGAAATAATTTGAAATCACAAACTACGACGAATTGACGCACCCAACCCTTTTTGACACCACCCATTTTTGGCACTTTGACGTATCCTTCATACGCAGTACCTATCCCACGTGTAGGATCGATCCCCAGTGGTCGTTTGGCTGAAACAAGCATGTCTCGAGTTGCAGAAGTCATACGATAAGACAGTTAACGTATCTAAATTGTAACTAATCGAGTTTTTTGATTAAACAGATGAATTCACATATCAAAATCTATATGTCTGAAATCTCTAATCAGTTTCTCAAATCTCAAATATTGAACAAAATTTAATCTTTTAAATGAATCTACTTAAATAGTCATGGTATTACTTACTTTGATCATGGGGTACAGGGCACATTGAAGGTACTTTGTCGCAACAAGGCATATGGCACGCGAAGCCGCACACTTCGCATACGACTCCTTGCCTCGTTAAACCAACCATTAAAGACGTGCAATGATTACACTTTGTCGGTGCTGAAAACGTCCGTACGAGAAATTGATGTGATTTAGGCTTTGGTTGCAAATTGATTTGACCATGAGTAGACGAAGACTTATTCAGAAGTTCATGGGATAATGGCGAAGTTGGATCCTAAGAAATAGAAGAAAAATGAAAAAAAAAAGGTAAAACTGTGAGTGAAATATTTTCGCGTGCATATATATATATATATATACACAACTAATTTACTTTATTTTTTGTTTCTAAATATACAGGGTGTTTCAAAATTCGCGCCCGCGGAGTACAAGAGATAATGTTAAAAGAAACAATTTTTTCCTTTTGCAAAATTACGTCTGACAAGTTTAATTTTGCAGAAGAGCAGATTGAAGTTATACGAGTAAACACAAAAATTATTTATCGAATGTAATTTTACTACAGAAAAAAGTTGTTCGTTTTAACACAAAAAATAATTTTTTTCTTTAGCAAATTGCCGATAAGTAATTTTTGCAGAAAAGCAGATTAAAGTTAACAAATAAGCGCGAAAATTATTTTTCGGACGCAATTTTGTTAAAGGAAAAAGTTGTTTTTTTTAGCTTAAAGTATCTTATACTTCGCGGTTATACTACGAATTTTGAAATATCTTGTATAAAATATATATATATATATTGAGATACTTACAATACTAAGTTCAGACAGATTACTTTTGCTGCTCGTAATACTAGGTGCACGATTGTCCTCAATGTCACCTTCCACACTGTCGACACTTCCATGACGTGTACTACTTGTGGTTTCTTTAAGAAAGTGCTCGAGATATGACATCTGTGATGTAGGACGTTCTAGAACTAATAAAAAGATTGGCTAAATAACGTGACAATGATAATAAAAGTATAAATATTTGGCAATAACAAAATGTAAAATATTTGCGAACATGAGAAAAATGACACTATTATTCTAGTACTAAAGTTTGAACGGCACGTAATGTTTTACCTGAAAATATAATAAATCTCTTAGTACATATATACATTTGCTAAATATGCATGCTTTATAAAAAAGAAAAAGTAGTAATTGCGTGCTTCTCTAATGTCTTTACGTCATAATATATAAAAAATATCACAAAGATACAGAATATTTTATGCTCTACATGCTCCATATTATGACAAATATATAACTATTGCAAGCTGGAATACGCACGAGGAAAAATAGCTTGAAACATTACAAGAGTTTCAATTCAATTTTCTACTAGTATATATATAAAAAAAATAATTGACACAACGCGCATATCTGTTAATTCACTGAATATAAAAAAAAAACGCTCAATCAATTGATTGAATAGTAAAGCTATAGAGGAAGGTAAGTGAGACAACTTGGAAACGCAGTAGGAATTTAGTACCCAAATTTGATTCAGTTTAATTGACTGTTATATGACAACTTGATGTGACTATGGTACGACCAAAATTTAGGACCCAAATTTAATTGGCTAGCTGATTGCTCTAAATTGCCTTTGTTGTCTCACCTGTCTTCTTCCATCATGAATAAAGCTAACTGTACAGCTTATAAAAGAATGCAACATTTACAAAATTCATTAACACCATTGCAACTTGTACACGGATATCGGACGTCACACATCAACATCTGCTTAGTTTCTGATAAGTTTCAAAAACAACACAGTGCTATGTTTTGTTCCTATCAAATTTTTTTCAAGAAAACACAAAAAATGGAAAAAGTGGAGTAATAAAAAGGAAACATAGCGCTGTATTGTATAATTAGCATGTCCAATCCAAAGTCACTTTTTTGCTGCCACATCATTTACCAGGCGGCGATATGGTGACGGCATTCTGACTGATGAACGTGTTGACTGGAACGAATCTAGTTAATAAGCGACAAGTCGTGATGCGGGGGGCACGCATTACTGGTAGGGGTGACGACGGTTGATGTACGATGATACGTTGGGGTTTGGTGCTAACGATGTTTGGAGGTTTGCTTGTTGTATCGCTGGATGAGACAGCTGTCACAAATATAGTTTGAAGATGAGCAACAAGAGGCCCCACACGCAGCTCGTTACGCCAATAAACAGAGGCACTTTGTAGTCTAGAAATCAGAATCGCATACCGTACTGGAGAATCGAATTACTATGCTACATAGATCCCAGTAATTACGATCTCTATAATTTATACTTTATATATTGATATACATAAACAAAATCTCAAAAACCTTATAACCTTTCTCGTGCTTTCTAGATAAACAAACAATTTTCCCCAGTTTACAGACATTCAAATAACACGTTACACTGACAAATTAGATTGTTACATTAAATAACAATCGCGACTAAGACGAAGTATTTTTTATATGTATATTTCATGTAATAGTAAAAAAATATATACATATATACATATAATTAGTTTATCTTTTCATATTAAGTAAGATTTCCTCCATTTACCAATTATCGATCTTTTTTCTTTTACCTGCATTTTTCTTAAATAAATCAACATAATGTATATTATGACAAAGATATTAGAGACGAATGAAAAAAAATCATCTCTTACAAATATCTCAGATATATAATATATTACATATGTATATGTACGACACATGCTAAAATAATTTTTATATCATAAATATATATAATAATTTCGCTGATGACAATTTTAATTTTATGCAATGAAAATAGAGATGAGTCAAGATACTTTAGTTCAAATCGAAATTACTAAGGTAATTGTGTCTGATAACATTTCCAAATCAAATGACCGAGAGATATATTTTAAAAAGAATTAACGACAATTTAAACAATCACTTATGACATCTCTCTTCCTTTGCTAGCATTCAGAAGAAACTGATAGAACATGTTGCATGGAGTATATTTTGTTCAGGAAGAAACAGTATACGAGTTTTAATGTTTGGAAAAATCAACAGATCCAAAAATATTGATAAATGTAGATGATTGAATTGTAATACACAGACAAGTGTAGTAAAAATAAATAAATATGCAATATGAATCAACAATATTACAGAGACAATATCTAAAAGAAGAAACTATCAATATGCCCTTATCCACAATCTTACGAATAAAGAATGAAAATAATTATTGAGAAAAGACATCATTGATATGTAATCACTTTTTCGATAATATTTTCATAAGACTAGCTTCTATCATTTTATTCTAGCTAAGAAATTCTATAGAGATTATAGTGCTATCACCACTTTCATGTGAACAAAGTACAAAGTCTTTCAAATTACAAAACAGCATCGTTCTCTAGAACAGTGCTGAGATTTACTTGCGCATTTCAGTTGATTTTCAACCGATCGGCATTTAGATTGCGCGGGCTGGTGAAGTAAGAGGCAGAAACCAAGCTGAAATGTGTAAGTAAATCCCAGCACTGTTCTAGAAAAATTGTGTATATTATGTAATATTTTAAATTTTATATTATCTCGGAAGCTCATTAGTTAGTTGAAAATTCTTTTTCAGTGTACATTTACTGAATGTAACGAATCTCATCATTCGTCCGTAATTATAAATTATCATCATTAGGTGCTTTCCATTTAGTAACACAAGTCGACACAAACATCATTTTAACTTTCTTGACATTCAGTGAAATAACGAACATAGAAACGATATTTGTGTCGAATGTGTCATCAAATAAAAAGCATTATGTGATCCATTATGTGATTAAATATTACTGCATAAATATTAGGTGTAGTAAAAAGAAATCCATTATTTTTGCATGAAATTGAATGGAAAAATAATGGATTTCTTTTTACTACATCTAATATAACCTGATAAATAAATAATACTACATACAAAACAAAAAAAAAACAATTTATATCGATCTATAATATTCCCACAAACTACATTGATTCGAAGATACGCATGCAAAAGCTGCCATTGAAAGTGCAAATATATTTAAAAAAATTTCATTGAGATTAGGATAGCCTCAGCCTATAAATATTTGATATATGCGCGCGCGCGCGCACGCGTCTACACGCACGCACGCATGCACGTACATTCACACAATTATCAGTATCATTTTCATAATGAGACTAGAATTTAAAACACGTTCAACATTTGTATAAAGATCACATCTACAAATCAAATAACGTATATAGCTACGACTCGCAGAACAAGTGTAGACGCAATATTTCCATAGCGATATAACGAACGGACTTTTGTGCATTTCTCGCCTTCACATTGTCAATTGAAGTATACTTACAGCCATCCCCGGTATCGAGACGCGCTTGCAACTCTTTTACTTGCATATCTTTTCGCTTTAATTCATGCGACATGGTATCTAATCGCTGCTTGAAATCCCTCAATTCTCTAAAACAAGGAAAAAAACAAAAAAGACGAGAATAAAAATATTCAAATACTGTTAAGAATACGGCACACAAAAAACTTGAGTAGTAAGACGTAAGCAAATCAATATTTTGAATTTATTACTACTTTTTTTTATTGCCTCTATTATGATTGGCCGATTAGCTTACTGCTTACATTTTACTGCCTTACATTTTCTTATGTGCCAAAGCATTTATCGTTTTTTTGTTTGTAACTGGCGCAATATTATTTTTCATCAATTCCTTAGTGAAAATTACTTTTGTGCAGCTATCAAATCCGAACGAGTTTTGGTGAGTTCTTCTGAAATTGCTTGCTTCGCTTGTATTTCACTTTGTAAGGAGCTCTGCAAATTCAAAAGTTCCATCTTATCGAGCTTCTGCGATCGACGATTTCGCCAATTTTTATCCGTCATTGTAGTTCCACTTCCAACACCACCAATTCCACCAGAGTGTTTCAGGAATTCCAATTCTTCCGTCATTTTTGTAGCCAAAGCCTGAGATCAGAATAGATAATAATATCCTTTTGTAAACAGAGGCTAAGTAATTAATAAAAAATTTGTTCAATCTAAACATCATCATATCTCGATAAATAATAGACATTCAAGGATAAAATAATCAAAACGCAAATGCATACCTGCAAATATCCACGAGCATCTTTTTCATCTGATACCCACTGAATAATTTCGGTAATTTGAGCTTCCCACTGCGCTATAGCTTCTTTCTTGTTCCTCAACTCTTCGTATTCGTCCTCCAACTGTCTTCTTTCACTCTGTAATCTATTAACGCTATCAGTGAGAGCACCGAGTTCTAACACAAGCTTCTTATTTTCTTCAACTAATATAATCCTTTCCCTCTCATGACGCCTATTTAACTCGTTTATAGTTTCTTCGCTATCGGTGATATTTTCCAATCTCGCAGCATCCAATTTCTCCTTGGTGAGTTGCACCTCTCTTTCCAACAGTTCTCTTCTAGTTTCCGCTTCGTGCAATTGTTCTTGCAAACTTCGAATTTCAAGGTTAAATCTACTTTGTTGTTGAGTCAAGTTTTCGTTATACTGAACCTCAAGCTTTTCAACTTCCGCTTTTAATCTATTAATTTCTTGAGTGGCCAAAGTGTGATTCGCACTAGCATCATTTCCAAGAGAACGTTGTCTGATCTTCTCCATCTCTTCTTGCATCTGTTTGCAATATTCCTCGCTGCGTTCTCTTAATTTCCTTTCTTTGCTCGTCTCTGCCATCGCTTCGTCGATTCTATTCTCCAACTCTCTACGCAGTTTCTCAGCTTTCCGAATATCATGGCGTAAAGTATCGACTTTCTGCATCGCAACTTCTAACTCTTCCTCTTTGTCACGAACTTGTCTCGATAATTTTTGCTTCTGTTGCCGCAGTTCGGATAATTTATCTGATACTTCCGTATATTCCGTCATCGCGAGCTTACGTTGCGTGAGCGCATCCTTCAATTCCTTGTCTTGAAGTTTTAATTTCTCCTGCGCGTCCAACTTATCCTTGATAGCTTCTTCTTTCTCTAAGCGTAAACATCGAACTAATTTCTCAAGTTCTCGATATTTCATCATGTCACCGTTATCTAAAGTTCGTAATTCGCGAGGAATATCCATAGATTTCAACTGCGACTCCAATTCTATATAGAACAAGCAGATGTTACGTCAATGTTCTAACACAAACACATACATACACAAACTACGGAAATTTAAACTTATAATTTTACCACAATTGCGTTTTGTGAGCGTGTTTATTTCATCTTGAAGTTTTCTGGTTGCATTATTAGAATCTGGTGAGATACCAGGCGAAGAATGACTTATACTCGAATGATTTTTCATATCGTCAATAGTTTGTACCAATCGTATATTTTCTTCTTCGAGTATCTGTATACGTTTGTCTGTCTGAGATAGAGTAGAAATACAACCCAGATCCGATATGCAACTGTAATGTTAAAAACTGAAGATAAAGCAAATAATATATTATGAAAATCGACAAATTCGGCATATAATAACACGCTATTCGCAACAACTCGATTCGTCTAATCAGTCCTACAGTGTTTCGTAAATACAGCGATCAGTTTTGCTCTATAAAAGTACAATACGAATAATGCCTTGAGGAGCATTTCAACTGCCGACGATGTTATCGCTATGTAAAAAGTAATACTTTTATCTGCTTTTGAGATTGGTTTCATATTGATATTTGCACCAAGCAAAAATATATCCGCTATCAATCCTCGATCAAACTGTCTAGCGAAATCAGTGTAATATAAGTGATGGAAAAATATAACATTTCCTTTCATAAGAGATGGCTATATTGCGATAATTTTTACAAAATGACAGAGATTTCAGATACAAATAAGCGATATTTCTTGCAGTATTATATCTGCTTTATTTAATATCACTCTAGCGATATTAATTGTTACTCGGGTCATGTGACTTTTACGTCTTTTTGTAATGTGACAATAATGGAACATTAATATTCGTGAGCGTCATGTCGTCGCGTATGGTTACAACACAAACATTAGAAAGGACATGTTACATACCTTCCTTGCGTGAAACTAAAACCAACAAATGGTAAATGAAGCGCAGAAAAGGCAGAATTTGCGGCTGGTGGAACAGCATCGGAAGTGCGAACATCAGTATCATCAACGTCAAAGTTGGACGTGTCACTAGGTGATGAAACTTCAGGAATGTATGGCGCGGTACTATCTCTCAGCGTATCCCAATCGACTCCGTCGAACCACGGATGTTTCTGCATTTTTAATTATTAATATTTTTTAATTATTAATATTTTTTAAAAATAACATATTGGTAAAATCTTAAAATATGCTGTCATAATTACTACAATAAAAACTACCTTGAAGTCATCTATTCCGTTTTGGCCTAGTCTAAATTCAGAGCTGCAAATCAATTTCCGCATCAGGTCTTTGGCTTCTTCAGAAACATCATACATAGCGTCCATAGGAAAATCAAAACAATTCTACGAAAAGGAAATGTTAATTCCAATTATTAAGCAACAAACGGTGTTGTTTTAACGAAAAAAAAATCTATAGGAATTTTGAAGTTTTACCTTGTGATTCATAATTTTTCCATAAGTCTCGACTAGAGATTCTGCGTAAAAAGGTGTTTCGCCATAGAGCATTTCATACATACACACTCCGAGAGACCACCAATCGCATTCAGGACCATATTGTCCTTGACCATCCTCCATTGCCTAACAGTAGTAATAAAATATAAAAGATAATGCAAATATGATAAAGTATACAACATGCAAATGTGATGAGCGAGAAAGGTCAAAGTAACATATCTTTATCCTACAGAATAATGTATTACCCTCAATATCTCTGGTGAAATGTAATCCGGTGTACCAACAGCGACGTTACTTTGCACCGTACCATCTTCGAACAGTCGTAAACAAGAACCGAAGTCAGCTAATCTGATATGACCATTTGCATCCAATAAAACATTATCGGGTTTTATGTCACGATGTACATAGCGTAAGTCATGTATAGAACCTATAGCTAGCACCATCTCTGCTATGTAAAATCGAGCCATATCCTCGGGTAGGCGATCCTCGAATTTGCTCAGTAACGTTAATAAATCTCCACCGCAGTAGTAATCCATGACCAGATACTGTGGCAACACAATACAAAAAACAAAGCAATACAATCAGTCACAGCAAGTAGCGATACAAAGGGTGGTCAATACTTTGTACAAACGTAAAAGTTGTGCAACATTAAGTGATATTACCAAGTTATTGTCATCTTGAAAGGCATAATGCAGATTCGTGATCCATCTGCGATCACCATACACTAATACATCCCTTTCTTCTCTAAAGCACGCCGTTTCAGCACGTTTTAACATTTCCCATTTGTTCAAAATTTTCATAGCAAATACTTTGTCCGAGCCGCGCATTCTTACAACGCATACTTCCCCAAAAGCACCTCTGCCAATTACTTTGACGATTTCAAAGTCCTCTCGTGTCAATTGCAAGTTTTTAATGCATGAAGTTATTGGTTTCACTGCAAAGAACCAATGATGTGATCGACATGTATGTATGTATGTATACACGACAGTCAAATACAGACAAAGTTTAAGAACAAAGATAAAATTATCTCGCCGAGATTTAAAAGAAACAATCCCTTACCAAACTCAATAAAATCGGAAACAGTCTTTTCACGGCGTAACGAAGAATTGCAGCATTCGTCATATAGCACAAGCAAAACATCAATAAGTGTCTCAATCGAAACGATATGACCAGCTCGTCCACTTTGAGCAGAATCACCGATAAACAGACCTTCAAGTTGGCATAATTTTCCTCCTATGCCTAAAAAAACATTTTTACATATGTATAAATACAGTATAAATTAGCTAATAAAAAAAGACTATAATTATATGAAAAAGTATATATGTTTAAGGTGCATATCTTGTGTGTATGAATACACAAATATATCCATACTTGTCC